TCCCAGAGTACTTTGTTTTTGTTCTTTCTTGTTGCTTCTTTAAAAGCTAAAACAAGTAGTTTTAGCATGAAAGGGGCTGATTCTGTTTTCACTGCTATAGTGCCACTGACTATAGGGGAGTTATTCCTGATTTATACTGGCATGAGAACAGAATCAGGGTCAACGTCCTGCAGTAATGCCAACCCCTAACGTGCAAAAATCACAAGTCAGTCCTCCACTCCCAAAATCAAGAGATCATATTAAAAATCATGAGTTTTTTTTTAAATAATGAACTTTGGGTGCTTTTTCTTTCCCTCCTGGCTTTTGAGGTGTTAGATCACACTTGGGACATGTTTTGAAGCTTTTCTCTGCAACCAGGAGGGTTAGAAACTTATTTCTTCTTCTAAACGACAGCTGAGATTCTCATGCCATATGGTGATTCTAGCAGCTGGGGCTTGAAGACAAGGAATTAAAACAGGAGACTCATGATAAAATCAGAAGAATCAGCAGCACTGAATCAACGTCTGACCATGGCCTATTTCTTGTGTTTTACCCTTAAGGACAAAACCTGTATTGCCTTGCTCAGTTTTAATTGACCCATGGCTTCTCTCTGCAGGCAGCGACATGGTGGAAGCGGAGAGAACTGGAATTAACATTGTGACATCTCCCTATCAGATCCACTTCACAAAAACACCCACGTACTTCAAGCCGGGGATGCCATTTGAACTCATGGTAATATCTCTTCTTCTGAATCATGCCCACTGTTGCCTGTGGTGTATAAAGAGGAGAGAACTATGGGTACTAGGGTGATGAGGGTGGTATAAGAACTTAGATCAGAAACAAAGGGCCACATTCCGATCTCAGTTACACCAACCTAATTCCAGTGTGACTCCACTAAATGCAATGGAATCACTCTAGATTTGCACCAGACTAACAAGAGCAGAGTCTGGCCCAAAAGCTGACAGCAAATACAAGGTGTGGAATGGCACCTAGCTACAGGCTTGGCCCAAAATGTGTCCTGGGGTCACTCGTGTATTGCGGGATAATATTCCCTGGACTGTGTGTAAAGGGAATTGGGCACAGGTGAGGAGTTCCAAAGAGGGGGGGGCATTTGCAGAACTAGGGGGCAGAGGGACCATTGTGGATAGGAGGATGTGAGGGAATTTCAAAAGTGGCACTGACAGAATGATTCTTCTTCCAGCGAGTTAGGCTGCATTACAGGGGGAGAAATATTATGCTCCTAAAATTCGGAACCAATCAGAATCAGTCCTCTTTTCCGCAGAGAATATGGTTTGGGGTCCCACGCTCCTCTGGGGTTGAAGAGTTTGTGAAGGGAATTTGGTATTTTTCTGTCAGCAGGCGCGTAAGACTATAAATTAGCAGAGAACTGAAGCAATTATCTTTGGCTGCAGACCAAAGGTGCATAAACGAGTAATCGATGACCACAGTAGTGAGCAGGTTAAGTCCATTTCTTATCTGGATACTTGCTTTAGGTACAGTGGTGAATGGGATAAACATAAAAAGGAGTCGAATGGCTGAACCGTAAGATCCATGCAAGTAGCTGTTCGTTTTTCTTGTGTGCCTGGGGGTAATTGAATTGCACCGGCTCTCTGAATGCTTAGGGCTAACCTGGCTGCTCAAATTTTGTGTGGAAATTTGGGGCTGGAAAGATCTTAGGTCCGAGGTGCTGAGTTTCTGATTTCCCCGGGGGTGCTCGACGCCCCCTCTGTCCCAGGCCCCGCCCCCACTCCACTCCTTCCCAAGGCCCCACCCCACAAATTCCCTCCTCTGCTCTGCCTGCCTGCTCCTCCCCCTCCCCCCCAGCACCTCCTGCCCACTGCTGAACTGATCCTCAGCGCTGGGAGGGAGGGGGAGGAGCTAATCAGTGGGGCCTGCCGGTGGGTGCTGGGCACCCACTTTTTTTTCTCCAGTGGGTACTCCAGTCCCGGAGCACCCACAGAGTTGGCGCCTATGCTTAGGTCGTTAGAGGTAGTGCAAAATACATTCTTGGGGAGAATACTTGATCTTCTTAACTAAACCCCAGCTGATTTATGTAGGACAGAGGTTAGTGAATGTTCTACATCAGCCAAAGCCCAATATGTAAGGGTTGGTGTCAGAGTAGGAATGAATTTACGTCGCCTACCAAGGTTATGTTTGGAGCAAAAGCATAATAGGTTTAAACCTTTAAAATGCCCTTGGCTTTTGCAAGGCCATTGATCTCTGCAGTCTTGAGGGTTTTCAGACCCAGGTCTAGTCAGCACTCAAAGGATATGTCTAGACTGCAGTCACGGGGTGCGACTGGAGCTCTAGCTGACATCGCTGAACTAGCTTCCATCACCTAACTTGGGTCCAGGAACAGTGAAACTGCGGTAGCGCTAGCTATACAATCCCACCCTGGACCCGGAATAATTACTCACGGGGCTAGCCCACGCTGATGCTCACGCTGCCTTGGCTTCACCGTTCCAGGACCCGGGCGAGTGAGATTAAAGCTAGTGTGGGTACGTCAGCTGAAGCTGCGTTCACACCCTGTGACTGGGTAATGCTGACGACCAGGGTCTGTCGGCGGCCGGGATCGAACCTGGGATCTCTGGAGCTCAATACATGAGCCGCTACTGCATGAGCTAAAAGCCACATGGCACTTAGCTAAGGCTGTAGTAAACTCGTTAATCTCTAAGTGATTTAGGTGCCACTAGAGGAGCACAGGGCACCTCAGCCAGCAGGCATGGCATGCATACAACTGCAGCCTAGACATCCCCTAAGTCAGAGTGTGAAAACTTGAATTAACCTCAGAGCTGAAGATATTTGTAACCAACTGGATACGATGGATGTTAGCGCAACAAATATGTCTCCCTGGCTCCCGTATTTAAAGAGCATCCATAGATTCAAGAAATATTTGGAAGTCTTGACTACCTGGCTTGACTACTCCAAACAACTCTACTCCCATCCACTTCCTGTGTGTTAATTGCCACTTGAGAAATAAATGGCTATCTCCAATCTTGGCTCAGAAGCCTTTTGCCTCATTAGCTCAAAAAGCAGAATATTTGTTGGCAGTGATCCTGTTTTGGATAGATGGGCAGTTGCCTTATTTGCCTGGGGCCAAAACAAGAAAAGACTAGCGTCAAATTAATTTCCTCTCTGACCTACATGAATCAATTTATTCTTAATTTTTGTATAGTTTTTTTGTTGGGTATATAAAAGTGTAAACTGAATTTAGGAGCAGGGTTGAAGTTGTGGTTTTTATATTTTTGTATGCTTGTAGTTTTTAAAATGTGTGTGCATTTTGTGGTGTGATACAGCAGATCACTGAGGCCCCATTCCTCAAAGTTATTTACATGCCTAATTCCCATTGAAATCCACGGAAGTTAGGCACCTAAATACCTTTGAGGCTATGGACCTGAGATGCTATACATGCGATTTGATTTGAAGTTAGGATGCAGGGAGCGCTGCACCCCTTGTTTGATGCATCCCTTTTTGATCGTGCCTCTCAGGTCTATGTCACAAACCCCGATGGCTCCCCAGCGCCCCGTGTCCCAGTACAGGCTGAAGGATTCCAGTCGGCTGGGTCGACCCAGAGAGAGGGAACTGCCAAGCTGATAATAAACATGCCCGGGGATAGGCAGCAGGTTCCCATCACGGTGAGTAACCTTCAAACACTGAGGCTGGGCTAAGTACTATATGCACCCAGAGGGCAATGCCCTGTTGGTGGCGTTCACTCCCCTCTCATGCACTAAGCAGGAGGATAACTGAACTCTGTGCATTCCACCTGTACCTGGGGTCAGTTTCCTGTATGCCATTTTGGAGATGCTCCAATCACCATGTAACCAATGCTCCATTGTGTGGCCAGAAGCGATCCCAGAAAACATTGACATGGGTGTAAGCAGGTGCAGATTAGTCCCCTTGCCACACTGAAGGTACCCACCATGCAGCAAAGGAGCCTGTAGACAGCGCATGGCGGCTTAGTGTGAAGACCCTGTGAGGTGACACCAGGCTCAAGCTACAAAGCCCGAGAGAACACTGGATCTATCTGTGTCCAGCCGCTTCAGGAGAGAGTCCCTCCTTATATTCATCTCACCCCTCCTGCAAGGGGCAAGGCAGTCTCCTCTGTTCAGGGACATGTTCTCTGACAGTCCAGAAATCTGGAGTCCCAGCAGGACTGTGCTGAAGCGACGGGCCAATT